AGGGTCCAGTATGCCCTTGCTGTCCCTGGGAAGTGGAGACCATTCTTAGGTCCCTGGAATCTGAGGGAATGCTGTCACTTTAAATATCCAAAATGGTTGAACTACTTGTAAACGTTCAAAATGGCTCCACCGTCTGGACAGAGATAATCATTTTGTCTCCTTCCTTACTGTTTCCCCTTTTATTCAACAGCCACCAGTGCATTCTTCCATGCAGCCCCTGGCTAGCAGGACCCATTTTTAGATTAATTCTTAGGTCCTAACACCACTTGGCAATATCCAAACTGTGCCGTGAGGATCGCTGACAGACTGCCTCTCTGTATGTCTCCTTTTTTGGTGTTTTCATGAAGGTTCTTCTATTAGTTGGAGTTTAGTCTGCTTCTGTATCCTTCCTTTCACAGCCCAGGGCTCTAAGATTACTTTCTTTATCTATGTTAATTGGTTCCTCTTTTTCTTGTTGAAGAGGGTCTGTGTAGTTTATCTGCCTATTCCACCATCTTACCTGGTTCTCTAATATATAATAATTTTTTAAATTAGATATACTAAGAAATGGAAGGTATGTCAGTGATATTTTTGTTAAAAATTGCATGTGTTTAGAGGTGAAATACAGAAAATTATAAAGAAGAAAAATCATCCATATAACACATTCCTTAAAATTGTTTTGTTTCAATTTTTGCTTTCCATGTAAGTAACTATCACATGTAAAATGTTTTCATATAAATATTATTCATACCCCTTATGACGGATATTATCAGAAAAATGAAAAATATAAAATATTGGTGAGGATGGGGAGAAGCTGGAATTGTCGTGCTTTCTTGGTGGGAATGTAAAATGGTGTAGCTGCGGTGGTCAATAGTGTGGTGGTTTCTTGAAAAGCTAAACATAGAATTGCCATTATTGTTTTTGTTATGTGCTGTCACATTGTCTCTGACCCATAGGGACTCCTCCTTGGGTTTTTGAGGTGGTATCTCTACAGAAGTAGATTGCCCAACCTTCCTTCTGAGGAGTGGCTGGTGAGTTTGAACTGCCAACCTTCTGGTTAGCAGTCAGGTGCCTTAGGCAATATGCCACTGGAGCGCCCAGAATTGCCATATGACTCAGCGATTCCGCACCTAGGTATTTCCCCTTAAGAACTGAAAGCGGGGACTCAAACCAGTACTTGTACACCAGTGTTCATTGCAGCACTATTCACAATAGCCACAATGTGGAAATAGTGCAATTGTGTACTAAGATAAGAAAATGTGGTATATATGTGCAATGGAACTTGGCCGTAAATAGAAATGAAGTTCTGACACATGCTACATCATGGATGAACCTTGAAAATACTATGCTTGGTGAATTAAGTGAGACATAGAAGGACAAATACTGAATGAAATTTCTAGAATAGGTAAATGCAGTCAAAAGTGATTACCAGGGCCTGGAGAGAAGACAAAATGGGAGTCATTCTGAGGGGTTACTAAGTTCTGTTTGGGAAGCTGAAAAACTTACAGAAATGAATAGTGGTGATGGTTGTACAACATGGTGAATGTAATTAATGCCAATGAATTGTATGGTGTAAAATGGTTAAAATGACAATTTTTTGTTATATATATTTCTCCACAATTAAAATTTTAAAAGAACTTACTATGAAAACAAAGGTAATTACAGCTGTGTTCTTCCACACAGCAAAATC